TTTCTTTTCTTTCTTTCTTTTTTGTTTTACTATATAACCACAAAACTTTTTGGAAAAAATATTAATCACAATACATTTATCATAGGTGCACATTAATTATAAATATAACGAGAACATTAAGAGTTGTGTTTCTTAGCAAACTCCTTTCTCCTAGGGAGTATTTATATGCCTTCAAAAACCCCACAGAATGGGCTTGAGCATCATTTTGTAAGTAATGAGATCAAGACACAAGGGATTTAAGACAAGCTACTCAAGAGCTGTAGGCCTGCTGGAATCCAGAACTGTCTAGTTCCAAAGACTTATCTGTTTGGACCATGACAGTGAATTTAAAACACTTTTCTGCCTTTAGCAGAGGGTTCTTCAACAGATAAAGGCAGAGCAGGTCTAAGAGACATTGCAGTGGGAGAGCCCAGAGCCTGGAACCACCCCCCACCCTGCTCCTCTGCCGGGCTCACTCCCATTTCCTTCTCTATGGCAGCAGCCTTGGATCTTTCTAGAACCTCTAGGTCTTACCAAAAAAAAAGGCAGCTTGAAAACCACTGTGCTACATCAACCTGCTGTCTTCTCACCTTCATCAAAACTTCCATTGTGTCTCCCCAGGTGACACCTGGGACACTGACGGTGCACCTGCTGGGCTTTCCTGCCGGGCCAGGTACTAACGGGGTGCATGGAGATAATGTCTATTACTCTCCACCACAGCATTTAGCACAAGTTTTAACTGTTTGTTTATCAGTTTACCTTTATATTCTGGCTCCCTCCCTAGACTGCAAATTCCCAGAGGGCAAGAGCCGTGTCATTTTCACTTCTGTATTCCCCAGGAACTAGCTGGCATACAAGAGTCTCCAATAATTCTTTGTCAGCTGCCCGAAGATTGTTGAAAGTGCATCTGAAAGCAAGAATCACTTTTTCTCCAAGTCTGCTTCTGAAAAGAAAACCCTCCAAGTAGAGCCAACACCCAGATTCATTTCTCCAGGGAAGTCCCAGCTGCCCAATTGTGAATGCAAAGCCCTCTTTAAAAGCCCTACAAATGTGAAAGGGCGAACAGAAAAGCATGTTTAAAAAAAAAGGCAGAAAGAAGAAAAAAAAAAAGCACATTTCAACTGAACAGTCACTTCATCTGCTTTCTATAACCAGAGAGCCTCAAAAGACCACAGCTGGTATAGTGACATATTAGTATAAATTACAAAAGTCAAAGTCTCGGGACCGCTTGGAAGGAAAGAGACACTCAGAACAGTTTCTGACTTCTACAGTTAATGGGGAAAAAAACACTTGGTGTTTGTGGGATTTTCAGCTTGTTTGGTTTTAATTTGTCCTCCACATTTAACATGACCAGCAAGCTATTTTTTTGACATACTCTTAACCCTGCCCCTGCCTCAGTATTGCATTTATTGCTCCCTACATGACTTAACAAATTTATTGCATAGAACCAACAGCTGAAAAGCTCACTTCAGCTCAATTCTTTGCAGCTACAATAAAAGAACACAACATGATCTAGGTCATTTTTTTTCCCATGTTCCAAATCTGCTTTCACTTAAAAAAAAGGGGGGGGGGGAGGGGAAGTCAGCTTCCCACAAATAAGAAAGTATGAAAAAATCTGCTAGCTTTCTTCCTTCTCTCCAAGAAATAGGCTTTTTCTATTTTACCCCCAATCACTCCTTCCTGTGTTTTGAGCAACCCTGACTTGTGTGTATCGGGCAGTCAATAAGCAGTCATAGGTGCAAGTATGCCTTGGAATTCTTCCCAGGGAGAAAGTGAACTCCAGAAACTGAGGCCGGGGGAAGGGGTAAGCGTGGGGGGAGGACTAGAACCCCTTGCATTTTAGAATAAGGACAAGTGGCTTAGAGGAATAAGAACGGAATTCTAAATGCTTCTCGTCATTTTCAGTTTCTGTTTATGTTGCTCTTAATGTCCACCGAAATAGGCTGGATACATGCAGTTGCATATCCTATTTGGGTATAATTTAATAGTCAGAAGTGAGGTATCAGAAAAGGTCTGAAAAAAGCAGTCTGTGGAATAAATACATACTTTGCTACTAATAACCAGACCTGTCCCTTGCATTGCTTATTATGCCTCTAAAAATAAGTCATTTATAATCATTTGATCCAATTACAGATTGTCCCTTGTGGTGGTAAACTCAAAATAACATAGCGAGTGATTTGTTGGTGCAGATTCCCTGAAGTTTTTATTACTGAGAAATAGCATCACCAGGTGTCATGAAGGACCAGGCACCTCCAGCAACCCGAGCATCGCCTGCTTTGACAGTTTCTGGGTTGAGTACCCACCACGTCAATTACTCTGGCTCTTTGGTTCTCCTCCTGCCATCAGCCCGTTGCCGCTTGGCCCTTAGAATATCATTAATGCATGGGAAAAGGACTCAAATTTGCTCTATTTTCCCATCTTTCATAAATAATTGGTTTTTTGGTATCTAAAACCATGAACTGTCCTTAAAAAGGACTTTTCCATTTTTTAATAAGGTTGTACAGTATAATGAAAAGGGCATGACATTTAGGTCCGGAGGACCATGGGGTCTAGGGACAGGCTTGGCTCACTCTGCCAATTAAGAAAGTCCCAGATTTAGTGGGGGAGAATTTCAGCTTCGTCATCAGTAGCAAAGTTTATAACTATCAGCCTCAGGCATTACTGTGATGATCAAATCAAATGAGTTACTTACATTATAAAGTGCTTTATGTATTGTAAAGCGCAATACCGATGTTATTTTGAGATTACCACCATTTAAAAATCCTACACAGTATTCCTTGCAGGAGTGATATTGGCACAGCGTGACAACAGGGCTGATTCTATAAGCGTGTTATTTTTAGAGACCTAATGAGAAAGAGAGAGACAGAGAGAAAGCAAACAGAGAATTTGATGTAAGCATCTCCCGGTCGGTCGTAGACTCAGCCTCCCCACCCCAAGCTCTGGTCCTTGCCCACCCCCCTCCCTGCAACATACACTGTCAACCTCCCCACTCGGAGGCTCCACATCCTCCCTTCATCCACTATGTTCTCATACAAACATTTACAGTGGGGGGCTGTTTCTTTACACAACTACAGATGATTGAGAAATCTCTCAGCTTCATTTTCTATCTGTTTCGCTGAGGCTGAAGCACCATCTTCCCTAAGGCCCCGCTTTAAACAAGCCAAACAAATTCCATCCTCATTCCTCATCAGCCTGTGAGATGCTGCCTGACTTGTGACCAAGGTCCAACAACTAGTGTGAAGACCTGGAATTCAGTTTCTCACCTTTCAACCTCCCAATTGCTTCACAGTCACACCTTTCCTCCCACCACATTTTCCTCCATTCCTGCCCCATTTCCATGTCTTCCTTTTGGTTCTCCCTAAGTCCATCTTGACTGAGGGTGCCATCACTCATCTCATCTCATCTCCACCTTGGACCAGATGGCATCTCAGTTTCTACATCCAGGGCAAGTTCTTTGCTGGTAAGTCCGGACCTATATATTCGAACCAACTTCCGTGGACTGTCATACATGTCTTAGAATACATGAGAAGGTCCTATCATTATATTTAAAGATTCTAATCCTATTCCCTTTAGGAGCTTACAAATGTGAACACTGGGAGCCAAGGAGTTTCCATGGCTCCCACAGCCATGCAGAGGGTCAGCGATAAACACCTGGGAAGTGAATCAGGATTTCATGCCCTCAGTCCAATGTGTTTTTCCCCTCATCATCTTAAAACAATTTTAACTTAGTCCATCCTTGCTAATTAAAACCCAGGTGCCTTCTTCCTCAGTTATCATTGGGCAAGATGCAAATTTGGAACAGTTACACCAGTGAAAAGCCTTGGAAGGTGAAATGCAGAATTATAAAAGCCAAGCAGTTTAAAAGGGATCCTTCTGCCAAAACACTTTACACTAAAAGTGGTCCACGGCACTAAATTAAAGTATTAAAAAGTCAGACAATTTAATGGAGGTGTATTTCACCTAATAGAGTCAAGGCGTCAAACGCTTTCAGGGAGCAACTAACAATAAACCTGATGCGCTTAACACTCTGGGATTTCTTGGATCCTGTTGGAATCATTCATCACCAAGACATAATTTCTGAGGCTCTATCTAAGAGCAAAGTAAAAGAGGAATCCAAAGGACAGAACAAAAACATGTACATGGTGGACACCATGTACCAACCTTCTGTGGCTATGCCTACAGTTGGAGGGTATGGATGGGTGTCTTTCAGTTTGATGTACAACTTCAATGCATTAATTTCCAAAACTGTACTGTCAAGGGCATTAATGTGAGCTTTGTTTTGCCAGCTCCAATGGGAACTTTTCTATCTTCTTCTCAATCAATACTCCCTCAATCCGGGGTGCTTCCATGATACCTTGTGCTCCTGGTTTCCTCCGACTTTATGCCTTTCTCCTCCTCTGTCAACTTTTAATACTGGAGTCCCAGGGCTTGGTTCAGGACTCTGTCATCTATCTACAGTCTACCTGGGTGATCTCATCCAGCCACTGGACTTAAATAAATCTATATTCCAATGACTCCCAAGTTTCTCTCTCTCACCCTCACCTCCTCATTGAATTTCAGACTTTCCTAGACAATTGCTTACATCTTCACCTGGATGTAAAATAGGTATGTCAAATTAATGGCATTTTCACCCCTCCAAAAAAAGTCCCACTAAATATTCCCCAAATATTCTCTCTCATTCTATGTCACCACCATTTATCTAATTACTTAGGCCACAAGCAGGGATTAACCTTAGTTGCTTTCCTTCCTTCGCTAACTATAGCTCATTATTTGGCAGGTTCTGTTGACCTGACCTCCAAAGTACACTCCATGTGATGTAATGGCTGGAATTCCTGCAGCCAGTTTAGACCATGAGATGACCTTAGGAATGGAAGTTACCCATGATAAAGCAAAGAGATAAAAACATCTTGGGTCCTTAATACCACAGAGCACCATAACAGCTCTGAACAGATTTTTATATCAGAGAGAAATAAATTTAAGTGAAAAAAAAATAAAACAAAACAGGATTTCAACTTCTCCTGTTTTGCACCTACCCACTAGTTCCACTCTAACCTAACCTCATAGCACGTCTCCCCCGGACCACTCAGACAGCCCCTATCTGGTTTCCTTGCATTTCTTGTTTCTTGTCTTGCTACAGAACAGAGTGAGCTTTTAAAACTGCAAATCAGATAATGCCACTTCTTGATTATTAATGCTATCTTTTGGTTTCCATATGAACTTCAAATAAAATGCCGAGTCCCTACACCCACCACTTTCACTCTATCCACCACTCTGCCCTTGAACAATGGACTGTGGCTGCAATGGCCTGAGTTTCTCTCACCCGAGACCATTGCATTTGCTATTCCTTCCCCCAGAACACGCTTCCCAGCATGGTTGCCTCCTTGTTATTGCTTAGATCTCCAAGCTCAAAAGTTTCCTTCTCAAAGAGGGCTTCTTTGGAGAATCCAGCCAAGGCAGCCCCAGCCACTTTTCATCCTATCACCTTCCTATTTTCTCATAGCTATACGTTGGAATTATGTGAGCTCGTTACTCATTTACATCTTATGACCTGGATCCCAAGCCTAGAAAAGTACCTGGCCATTCTAAAAGCTTACCATATTTTTGCTATGTACTGGTTAAATGAATAAAATAATTAACTGCTGGCATTCCTTCAAATGTTATAACATAAAGCATTCCATAAAGAGTTTTTAACAAGATTAAGGAGAAGCTGGCTGGTGTAGACACCCAGACAAAAGAATTGAAGCATTCAGAGGGAGCTGGAACACAGATTACCATTAATCCAGCAGCTGTACCTCTGGGTAGATGCTCAAAAGAAGGAAAGCAGAGACTTGAACAGATATTTCTGCACCAATGTTCATAGCAGCATTATTTACAATAGCCAAAAGGTAGAAAACAATCCAAAAGTCTATTAATAGAGGAATGGATAAACAGAATGTAGTCTATACATACAATAAAATATTTTTCAGCTTTAAAAAGAAATAAAATTCTGGCATATGCTATCACACAAATGAACCATGAAGACATTACCGCTAAGTGAAACAATCCAGACACAAATGGACAAATGCTGCATGATTTTACTAATATAAGGTACCTAGAATGGGCAAATCTATAGAGACAGAGAGGAGAACAGTGGTTACCATGGGCTGGGGCAAAGGGAGGATGGGGAATTCGGGTTCAGTGGGTACAAAGCTTCAGGTGGGGAAGGTGAAAAGGTTCTGGAGGTAGATGGCGGTGATGGCTGCCGACACGTAAGTGCACTTAATACCTCTAAACTGTACGCTTACAAATGATTTAAATGGTAAATTATGTTTTGCATATTTTCAATGATAAAAAAAATCAGAGTTAAAAAGAGGAAGGATCGGGATGGGATGGAAGTCAGGAGGGAACTGGATTATAACTTTTGACCAAATTCATGACACAAAGTCCATTGCATTTGACAAATATGGACTTTTCTTCTTAGTAGAAAGCGAAGGTTCAGGATCAACAATACTAATCTTCCTTCTTCAAAGACAAAAGAGGAAAATCACTTTCTTTTTTTTTTATCAGTACCGATTTGATATTTTTATAAACTTGGACATGACTATCTCTAAGACGTAATGGCATGGAGCACAATTAACTCATTCTGTTTGGATGCTCTTCATCCAGAGCAGAGCTATAAATAGCGGGTATCAGGCCAGTCACAAGGCATGGGGTAATTTATTCTCTCCAAAATTCTATTAAAACACATCTAATCAGCTAGATGTTGTTCCTCCTGTCCAGACGACCAAAAGGATGTTCTATAAATGGACACAATGATTCTTGTTTTCTGACACTACTCCAAGTCAGCGCTCCTTGTCCAAATCCTTATGGAAAATAAGGATTTAGAACCATTTCAATAAAGAACATAATGTAGAAAAAAATATCCAAATGGCTGATGTTTTTTATGTGTAAGCAAATCTTTGGGGTTACATAGGCGGAGATTCAGAGTTGTGGGAAACTGTCTGATGAGACACCAGCACCGGATGGGATAAGCCCAGCCTGCACTCTTACTCCTAACTACATCTCCCTCCACTCGGTCCTCTTACATGGAAAACAGCCCATCAACAGCTCTATTAAAGAATGCTGAAATTAAAAAATAGAGATCAGAAGGCAAGTTTACAAGTAAAATGAGCCCTAGACATTTTTTTTTCCTTTTTAAACATTGTGGTTGATGCTAGAAGCCATTTAGAGCAGCTGTTTTATGAAAAATAAACTTTGTATTGCGGCTGGGGGAGAAAGACAAGATAAATACTTTGTGAAAATATTAATGCTGAGGTAACAGAACTAAACTTGGAATTCTCAAGTAAGAGCCTCTGAAATTGGAGTAAAAATGCCTAATTCTTTCACTAGAAAACTAATACTGTATCCCTTTTGGCAAAGTCATTCTAAATTGAAAAAGAAGCAAATCCTTTCTCATGTTCATAACTAAGCTCCCTTTCCATGGACATTATTTCTCTTTGATACCCCCCTAAAATGTGTGGGGATGTCAGAATATGTTAAGGATTTTATATACTTTGTGAAATAAGATTTTTAGAAATTTTACTTTTCCTTGAAAGGTTTTAGTGTCTTTTCCCCCCCAAAAAATATATTCACTGTCAATCTCTGATTATTTAATTAAGAATGAAGCTTTAAGCAACATGTTTGCGGGAGCCCTGGGAACAAGCAACTTCATTAGATCAAGGTCATGGTCCTCCAGGAGGCTCTCCTGCAGCCAGCCAGCCCTGTGGTTCTGTCCAGAGTCTCACCTTTGCCTGCTGGTTTCCCTTGTTCTGGCTTTTCACAGTTCTGGCGGCCCCTCATCTGAGATTTCTCTTTTCCCTCATTATCACCTCTGAATGTGTGACGACTTAATTTAAGATCTCTCTTTCAGCTCTTCCTTGACATCATCCCCTCTTAGCTGCGGAGAATCACCTCCAGCCCTGGCTGCTAAATTTGGCTCCTGCTGTATCTCGTCTCCGTCAGTCCCACATTGGTACTGAAGATTTCCTCTGACCCTGGATGTGGCACAGCAGTGTGAGGCTGAGCGAGCCAACCCTAACAGCAAGGAGGGCATGGGTGGCTACCTGTGAGCTAAAGTCTTTGAATAAAATAAATGCTTTTACTATTTTAGCTGGAACTACTAGTATCTTACTACTGCCATTACACAGAGGGGAACAAAATATTCATGTTTAAGATGTCAACGTTTCATGTTCAACCAGCAGAAAACCTCTTTTACACACATTAACTTTTTCTGTCTTTCAGCGTGGGTAACACTAAAGGGTCAGGAGGGCATTCTTTACAGGGATGTATTCTTGCCACGCAAAATACGTCGCCATTTCCCAGCAGCCACACTGCTGTCACGGAGAAGGAGTAAGCCAGAGGTGGTGGCGCTGTGTGCAATGTGTAGAAGTCCATGGCTACAAACTGTCTTCCGCCTCCCTCCATACCAGATACACCCACATACACAAACACACACCTTTTGACCCCCAGAAACACACAAACATTTTGACAGGAACCCTGTATCTGTTCTCATGACAGTTCAGACACCAAAATCGGCAGCATGAGGGAGGCAGCGCAGCTTAGTTAAGAGAAACCTGCAGGAGGCTTAAAGAGAGCGGGGGTCCAGTCTCACCGCGGGCCACCTGTGCGCTATCAAGCCACTCCTTCCGGGGTCTGGACCAATGTTTTCTAATTTAGAGAACTAGCAGGTTAAACTGAATGATTTCCAAATTCCTCCCAGATGTACGGTTCTATGAATTCAAAAAAAGAGACTGAGTCCATTAACTCCATCTGGACAGTTTTCCAACCACATTATTATTATTATTATTATTATTATTATTATTATTATTATTATTATTATTATTATTAGTGGGGGAGGTAACTAGGTTTATTTATTTATTCTTAGGGGAGGTACTGGGGATTGAACTCAGGACCTCATGCATGCTAAGCAAGCACTCTACCACTGAGCTATACTCTCCCCCCTCAACCACTTATGATAGTTTGAAAAGCTTACATCCCACAATGTTCTCACTTATAACCCACTTTTTCAGATCCGGTATTTCCCATGATGATTCGTCAACAGACACTTACTGCATCTTCATTAATCCCTCAAATGCAAGGCCCAGTGGAAGACAGGAAACGAGGGGCACACTGTCCCCAGCCTTCAGTTTTCACTCTCAGTGTAGAGACAGACTATAGACAGAAATTTACTGTCCTACTAAGACGAGTATCACAGAAGATACTGAGAATTCTCACAAATAGCATGGAAGAAATGACCAGTGAAACATATCGCGGAAAGGATCGCACGGACAAGCGGACATAAATTTTACTTGTGGAGAATCAATTAGGTCAAAAGCAAACGATTTAGAGAACTGATTCCAGTGACAGTTCCCTCCCTTCTTTGAGTAAGGGTTTTACCAACAGGCTAGTGACCAACGGGTTTGTCATTAACTTCAGAGCAGCCCTGTAATTATGCCTGTGCATAATTGTGTAGTTGTGTATAATTGTGTAATTGTGTTAATGCTACACACGAAATTTTACATACAAAAGAGCACTGGACAGTAAACTTTAGGTAGTTCATCCCTTAGCCTGGGATTAACTGACCTCCATGAATTCTTTCTTATTTCAATATAGTTCTGAATTAAAAGTGCCCCTTTGAATAGAGAAATCGTACTCTTTAGAAGACTAGCCAATGACCCCTCTCCTGACCTTGACTTTGCACTCAGAAGACTCCTTAGCCCTGTGGTCTAGCTCCTTGTTTCTGATCCCTTGCCAAAGCGGTGCTATAACCATCCCTCTAGCCAAGCAGTCATATCCCAGCTTGGTCCTTTGAAGACTGGGTCTTATGACCTTCAGCCTACCTACCACCTTCACTTGGAATTACTGAAAAGAACATTTTCTATAATTGGTAAAAATAGACTTTACAAATATGGCTTTTGGTGGATTCATAACCTATTCATAAGTTTAAGGGCAAAAGATCTTGAAGTAGCAAGTAGTATCTCTTAAGATCTTTATTTTTGAAACTCAATTAGACCAGCATTTGTATGCAAAATCTTATTTGAAGTAAGCCATTGGAAGTCATGCATACACCCCTAGCTGTAGATAGCCCGCTCAAGTTGTAATTTACACATCAATATTCACACTCTAACCCAGCTACTTCAAACCACTGACAACCAGCTCTGCTTCTTTATTTATAGAACTTTCCTGGAAAGGATCAGCATTTGCTGGGAAACTAAATGACTCTGTTCTAATTGTGTTTCTGAGACCTCATTTCAAGATCTCAGAAAAGTCTCCAAAAAAAAAAAAAAAAAAACTCTGCGAGAAGACATTTCCATCAGTGAACTCATAATAAATGCCTTTAATAAGGGTGATGGGTCTAAAAATAATTAGCTCATGGAAGTAACAGGCCATTAGAGTATCAGTCCTGAGCACTCATGCGATTTTTAGTTTCTATAAGGGTAATGGGAGTAATGATACTCGGTTTGCGTAACATTTCACACTGGTCTTGATTTAGAATGTCTATTTCTTTCTGGTACTATCTCTGTGTAAAAGGGTAAAATGAAAACTCCGGAGGAGGGATACAAGGAAAGATAAAGCAATTATTTTGTCCCATTTCAACGGTACTGTTCTTAGCTAAATTTCATGTCTTGATTTCTCTCTACCACTTTGAAAAACGGTGTCAGTCATCTTGCCAGGGGAAATTTCCTTCTAAAAGTTGCTGAGATTTTGGTAAATATTGTTATTATTGTAAGCTACATGAGAAGGGTCCAATAACCTAAATTATAATTTACGGTTCTTTTAAACTATAATATATGTGGCTTTCTTATTTAAAAAAACACACACATAAATTGTATGACGTGAAATAAGATGGACTACTTTCAAATTGCCCCCGCCGTTGTTTTGTAACTGACCTGTATCTACTGTAAAATGTGGAACAAACCAGGTCCATTTCCAACTGTGCAGATGGCTCATTCTCTAGCCGTCTTAAAGATAGAAAGATTGGTGAGCATCAGTGTGGTGCCAGGAAGGAGCAAAAATTCTGGGAACTTGAAAACTAACTGAAAGCCAAGTCTTTCTGTGCAGGGTCCAAATCTCCCATTGGGAGAAAGGGCTGGGATCTGAGATAAGGTTGGTCACATTATTCCAGAGATAACCCAACATTTATTTCATTTACTGCATCGAGAGAGTGCACGGTTCTGTGTGCACGTGCACACGCGCGCACACACACACATACATACATACTATCTCCAACTCTTGGTCTCTCAAATGCATAACAGAAGTAGAGCTGGAAGCCTAACCCAGAATACTTGGCCTGAAGCCCTTTTATCCTCCATTTCAGTAAAACAATATTTTTGGTACTTCATTAAAAGGGGGAGGGAAGTATATTGCTTCTGGACTTCTCTATTTTCTATCTTCTATCTCCTACCCATCATGGGGCACCATTAATTTGACTTTGTGTGAATGTATGTTTTATTTAAAGTCCTCATAAATACACATAATACCAAGCTTGGCCTTTTTACACAGCTGTTGTTTTGAGTATGTTAGGTTTGATGGTGTTAATGATGCAGGCAAACTCTTGGCTGCGCCCATGTCTCCAGCTGGAAAACAGATTCATGTAATTCGTGTCACCTTTGTTGACAGAAATGTCAGCAGCCTGAACAATTTCATTTATTTATTCACTTGCCCTTTATTTAGTTTTCGGTGGGGGAAGAACTGGGGATAGGGTAATGCTGATATAGATATATATTTACTTAGAGTGATTCTGAGCATGCAGCTTGAGTTTAAAAAATTGAAAAATATTTGCACGTGACAGTTAAACATACACCTTATAATATCCAATTTGACTATACATAGAATAACTGAAGTTTGGAAAAATTGATCCCTGGAGAAGCAAGCATTACTCTACCTATATTATCTGTTCTTAAATCAGATCTTCAGGCAGATCCTAGAAGGGGTCAAGATGCATGGGTGTGTGATCAGGCAGCAGCAAAGTCCTTGACACACAACAGGAAAAGGGTGCTGGGCATGTGGCTCCCTGCCAGCCTACAGTCCTCCTGTTTGAACCTCAAGTCCTAAAGGCAAACTCTGGGGTGGTGGTTCAGTTTTGTGCTGTTTTTCACGGCAAGACACAAGAATGAGAAGACCATTTGAAAACCCCCACCTAGACTGGGTAGAGGACACCCTCAGGATCGTTGCCTCTCTGCTTATACCTTGTCTTTGTTGACAAGGTCAAACTGGTTTTGGGGATCTTCAATGGAATTTTGATTAGTTTATGTATGTCTCTTAATGGCCTCTGTATTCTCTTTTCAAGAGGGATTCTTTCTGCCAGCAACGCAAAGTCCTCGGTCAGAGCCCAAACCAGACCTGACTCACTAAAGTAGAAGGGGCACCTGGCCCCAATTCAGATTGGCCACAGGCATTAAGACCTTACTGTGTCTACACTGCTCAGGCAGTAGTATGCAACTAAGAATCAAAGAGCCTCTTGGGCAAAAGATAATGACCACCATTATGAATGTCTTTATTCTGTTTCTGAGTGGCATGCCACGTCCCCAAGGATGTCAACACTTACCAAAGCTCTTCCTGCTTATTGGACTGTAGGACCCAAGGAAGATGGCCTGGTGGTATCTGACCATAAGCTTGCCTTTCTCAAGATTTCAGTAAATACACTTCTACTGGTAGATAAAGGGTGGAGTCTGCTTTTCCAAATACTATCTTCTGACCTACCAACTATATTTCAGATCAGTTCTTTCATGGTAGAACAAGCCTGTCTTCTACCAGTTTCAATGGTTCACGTCTTCCATCTCTACCCCACTGATGGAGGTGTTCCCTTGCCTAGCTTTGAGGATGCTTGGGCTCAGATTAGCTACCCTACATCCTAGTTTTGTGCCCCAGTAATTATCCTCTTCTCTCATGGAAGGCAGCATTAAGCTTAGATGTGAAAGACAGTAAAATAAAGGGAACTTTCCTCTTCCTCCAATGGTCTTTGCCAATAGGAATGGAAATAAAGAATCTCAAGCCTGCCCCCATGTTATGACTCCTCAAAATTCATACGTGGAATCCCTAAGATCCAGTTCCTTAGAATATCTGACTATATTTGGAGATTAAGTATGGTTAAAGGAGTTGTAAATGGGTGCCAAGTTGACAAGGGATGGACTCGTGATGGTTCATTTTATGTGTCCACGTGGCTGGGCTACAGTGCCTATGTATTTCATCTAACATTATTCTAAATGTTTCTTTGAAGGTGTCTTTGGATGAGATTTATATTTAAACTGGGGCACTCTGAGTAAAGCAGACTGCCCCTGTAGCACAGAACAGATGATACCCTATAATGTTAAGATTATTAGTATGATATTAATATATTCTGCAATAACTGAATAGAGCACAAGACTATTCTCTCTGAGGAAAAGGAATTCAGCTAGCAGATGACCTACAGAATGGAACTGTAAGATCAACACCAGCTCTTGGCTGGGTCTACAGCCTGTTGACCCATCCTGCAGATTCTGGACTTGCCTGTCTCCATCATCACATGAGACAATTCCTTAAAATAAATCTCTTTTTGGATACGAGGACACAGATTCTATGGGTTCTGTTCCTCTGGGGAAGCCCTGACTAGTACACCCATCTGGGCACTCCTGCTTCTACGCTCTGTGTCTGCAAATGACACATGGGAAATTTCCATCTGCACTTAGTGTGGAAGGATCTGCTCTATGTAGATGGTTATGTTCGAAGTTCTGGGGATGGAGGGAGCCTTTCTTTTATGGATTACTTTTCACATATGTAATTGAAAAAAATCTGTCCCAGTGCACCACATTTTTATTGCTATCACCGTTCCTATAACGGCATCAGACTATCACTACCTGCGCTTAGATGCAGTCACTGTGCTTTGAGACAAGGCTGAGGAATAAATGGACACGACTACGGCACATCTTGGTCTGTCACTTCAGCATTTCTTTAAGAGGGTGAAGGATGCTCCCTTTCCATCTCTTTCCTTAGAAACTTTCCTTCAAATAGCAGGACAGATCAGCAGAATCCTAAAATCCGCTGACAGAATCCAAAAATCAAATGTGAGACTAATAATTGTGTTGAGAATTAAGAATTTCTTTTCTTTCCCCCTCACTAAGATTTGGACAAAAGAGGAGAGAAATGTTTCCTTTAAAAGCAGGATAAGCAATTCAACTTACAGGCAATATTCTGGCCATTTTTGAAGAGCTATTACAGATATCAAATATATTTTCATATTTTGGTTTTTTCCCGTGTGTTTTCCTCTCCACCCTGAATCTTGCTCTCTTTCCTACAAATATTTTCACAATATTGTTTATATTAAGACGAATGTCCTACTTTTTCCAGCCAAGGATATATTTGTATATAGGCTTGTATGCATGTAACACAACTTCTTGTATGTTGAATGCGTAGACATTAAAAATTATTTTAAGAATTACAAAAGATACGTCATATTCTTGACATATGATCTCCACAAGCACCACTTCCCCAGTGTACCATCCAGATCACCTTGCCCTGTGTGGGGACAAACCCATTACCCTGAGGTTTTGATGCGTTCATTTTGCAACTGAAGGAGGAAAAAAAAAAAAGCGAACACTGTATATGCCAGTTAATCAGCCCAGATGTAATCACCGGCTGCACTCCCTGCTTTGTTTATGAGCATATTTTACTTCAGGTAAACACTGTAATTCTGGCAGAAAATTCTGCCTGATGGATACAAGTCCTGCCATTATGTATTCACCAATTTTTTTTTAAAAAGAACATTTACCCTTGTATAGGAAAGAATGCTAAATTAGAGAAAAAGGAACTTGAATTCTGGTTTTGGCTCTGGCACCCTGATTCTAGACAAGTTCGCTAGTCTCAGTGTCCCACATCCGTACATTGGGATGATACGATTT